AACAGAATAAACATCGAAACATCGATACAACATTTATTTCTCAATCGTTAAGTCCTTACTATAATTCTATCACATTAAAAAACATCAATGCATAATATATTAGTGTAAAATAAGGCTTCCACGTCTCGCGTTCGACGTTAGAGAACCAAAAAGCAAACAATAAAAATGACTGGTGACATTGTTGTAAATAAATTCAATAACCTAGATGTTTGAATTGTCCAAATTTCGACGTCCTTTAATGTTGGTTTACCCTAGTAGTGACATTATATTGTGGCTTGAGTAGATATGACGTATTCATAGGCAACTGCAGATATTCACAACAAAATAAATATATCTGAAACACTCCTCATTTCCCATAGCTTTCCTTTCCAAAAGTGTTTTCGGATCCTTTGTAAAACCTCCATATCCATTAGATGAAGCATATTGACAATCCAAACTTCCATCGTCAATCTGTATAAAAATTTTTCAAATTAAACATATTGTGACCCATGGTTTAAGTTTCCTGAAGATGCTTCTTATAATAAGATTTCATTACCTTTCTATCCTCCAAACAACATATTGCTATCTTTAGATTTCAAAATGCACCTTCATTATTTGATCATGTTTTGTGAAGATAAATGTGCACTTTGAAATCAAGGACAACAAAATGCGATTTGGACGAGACAATTGCTCTGAAATCTAAAGGTAGAAAACAACTTCAGAAAAACTTAAAAATGAATCCTAATATATTCAAGAGCGAAACTCCATTAGAGCAAACAATGGAATGGTAGTGGTATTTGTATGAATATTAGACGTCTGAATATGCACTTAATGTTAACAACTGTCCTCTTCTCCTGACCAGTTAGACTTCAATCCAATGCCCAATGTGGCATCAAACCCTTCATTGAACTCGACCATTAAATTAATGTTCATAACAACCATTTTCTCCTGACCAATTAGATGTTGGACCAATGCCCAAATTGACGTCAAACCCTTCATTGAACTCAACCATTAAATTAATGTTCATAACAACCCTCTTCGCCTGACCAATTAGACGTTGGACCAATGCTTAATCTGACGTCAAACCCTTCATTGAACTTAACCATTAAATTAATGTTCATAATAACCCTCTTCTCGTGACTAATTAAACGTCAGACCAGTGCTTAGTCTAATGTCAATGTGTTTAAAAAGTTTCCCATTGAACATATTTTGAGCCATGTTTAAGTTTTCTAAAGATGTCTCTTTCAGTAAGAATTCATTACATTTCTATGCTCTAAAACGCATTTTCCTATCTTCAGATTTCAAAATGTACCTTCATTAATACTAAATCTGTCAAAATGGGTTGTAACCCGCGGGCCAACCCGACTCACCACGGGTTTGAGCCGGGTTGGGTTTGAAAAAAATGTAATTTTTTTATGCGAACTAGTTTTCAACCTGGATCACCTAGAACCCGACTCACCAACCCACGTAATTTAATTTAATTATTTATTATTTTGTGTTTCAATATTATTAGTTAACATTTTTTTATTATATTGTAGATGATGATAAAGAAGAAGATGTTTCAAGAGATAAAAATATTATAGATAATGGACAAGTGATACAAAAATTATCAATATTAATAACTTATTTGTTTGCCTTTTGGACATGTTATTTGGACAAATAAAAAAGTGTTGCCTAAAAATAAAATGTCAAGTTTTATAAGTATGGCTTAGAGATTACCAAAGCGAACAATATTCAAAATGTTAGTTTTACCACATTTATCTAAATGTTGCCTCTAAAATAACGTAGCATAAAATAAATTAAAAAAATTTGGTTTAAACTAAAAGAATTTCCAAAGTATGAAAATTAAGAAAACTAAAACTTCCCTCCATGTTGAAAACTAAAAAAGCACTGGAAATGCAAAAACTAAAAAACATATAAAACATTAAGTTTCATTTTCCTCTCTTGGACTTAATGTTGTGTCCACTTTGGGAAATACATTGTTGGCGAGAAAAGAAAAGAAAAAATAGATTCATACCGTTCGCTTCAACTAATTTACTAGATTTTTGAGTGACCATTTGAGGGATAAAGATTAAAAATTGTCTTTGCTAAGATGAGATGATTTGAAAGATGGAAAACAAAATTAAAACATAGTCTCTGTTAATGATATTATACTCCCTTGATATGAATGTGAGAAAAGTTGGAAATGTAAATAATTAATAATGAAACAAGCACATGGTTAATAATATTAATAATAATAATCTTAAAAATATATATTATTTTAATTATTTTATTTAAATATAATTTTGATTTTGTTCCTTTTTATAATATTTTTACCAATAAATATATCATTAATTAACATCACTTTATATTATTTTTATCACTAAAAATATTTTAATAATCTTTAGTTTTTATTAATTTAATATTTTTTTCTTTAACATCAGTTAAATTTTATAATTTTATACCAACTTTGAAAAATTTTATTTCTAAATCCATTTAGACTCCCTTCCAAATCTATTAAAAAGAAAATAACTGTTAATTTATTTTGAAATTCCTTTCTCCCTCAAATGAAAGGCAAAGGACTAACTTCGTGCCTCTGTCCCCTTCGCGGTGCGGTTCCATATTCGTGTGTGTCAGAAGCATCGTGTTTCACTTTTATATCAACAGTTTTTGTGTCTCTACCATCTCGTCTCCGTTCGTTGAATCGTTTGTCTTTCTTTGAACACTCTCGTCTCCATGTTCTTCACTATTCATATTCAGTCCTTTTAGTTGTAAATTTTGTTAATTTTGTTTGCTTATTTCCATCCGTCACTGACGACTACTGTTAATCTTGTGTAGTCCCAATTCAATTAGGGTTTTTCCTTATATTGGTTAATTTATTTGGATTTAGGCTTTGTAGGTCAGGATTCTCGTGTTACGTATCAAACACTAAATGTTTCTCAGTCGGCTATGGTGCCTATTGTGACCACGCCTTCCTCAAGGGCACAAAAAGAATGGCCAAGGTCTATATAGGATGTTCCACCGACCAATAAAAGGATGCCACCATTGTCGGATTTCCGGCTGACGAAGGCACTGGTTTAGCAAAGGGTGAAGGATAATGTGGTAATGATGACCTTTGGTAACTATGCGTTCATGGATTTTATTCTGACATGGGTTAAAAAATTGAAAGATTTGGATGTTTCCAATTTTCTTGTTGGTAGTAGCTCTGTTTAAGTCTTGTTCTATATGTCTTGTAAATGCGGTGGTGATGTCTTGATACAAACGAATTTCTACTATTATTTACCATTGGTTGTTTGAGTTTTGAAACCTGTTTCTTAGGTGCAATGGATACCAAATTATTTGAGGCACTGTATTTCAATGAGATACTGGATTTTGACATGGGAAGCCATATGAGAATAGTAGATGTTGGATGGGGTTCTCCAACATTTCATAAAATAGGGAGAGAAAGAGTTATTATGATAGACTCAATACCTCCTTTTGGATTTGAGCTGTTGATGTGTGATACTGACATGGTTTTGGTTGAAGGTGATATTCATTTTTATATATATATATTCTTTCATGCGTCAATTTGTTTCAATTAAAATAATGGTTCATATGTTAGCTTAGCTTTTGATTAATGATCCAATAAAAGCCGTAAAATTCTATTAGTTAAGAGACTTTCTTTCTCCACAGTGAAAGAAATATAGTTATTAGAGATTTTGTTTAGATTTTTATGGAGCTGGCTTACATCATTTAAGTTCAATAGTTCCCCTAGTATCATTTGTTTTTACCATCTACCTCTGTTTTTCCATGTAATTATTATGTTTTCTCATAATCTTTTACATTCATTAAGCACAATCATCTTTTACAATATCTCCAAACCAATGATGTGATTGTTATAATTTATTCCCATTACGTATGTTCAATTGTGAAATTGGTAACAAAACCCACTTCCATATCTTGCTCGTTATCCAAAAGCAAACATTTTGACTTCAAGTGATCAAGTTATACGAACAGTTGTTGATGATAGTTTGGAAGTTTGGCAAGAAGGTGAATATTAACTCACTGTCATTATTTTTTATTGTGGTTATGCTGTTTCTTTAGCATATTTTTGCTGCAATGTGACTATGTTCAATGGTGTCATGTGCTTTATATAACCGACCTCAACTGATGGATAATGCTTTGTTGTTGTCGTCGTCTTTGTCATCATGAAACCAAGCATTTGTTAGTCAAATGGCATCTATGGACATACCGATTATTCTTTTTTTATTGATAGCCACCTTTTATGTGAATAAAAAGAGTTATGAGGCATTAATTTAGACTTTAGAGTGCCTTGTTTTCCATAAGTTTGCATGGCTTCCGATTTGAAGCAACCACATTAAATTTCACACAATTATTGACAATAGCCATAACTCTGATTTTTCCCCTTGCTATTGTTATCGGTCCTGTTCATAAAGATAGAATGATTTTGATGGAAGCTCATGTCTTGCAACATATTCTTCCTCATAATCAAGGTTGTGAAACTCAAGAGTTTACGTAAACTTGTGAGAGTCCAGTAAACTCAACTTGTAAATTCGTAAGAGTTTACTTTGCATAAAAAAAAATAACATCCTAATTCAAATAAGATAACAAAATTATATAAATTCAAATACATAAGTTTATAGAAATATTGTTCATAAAAATATAATGTAAAACATAAATTGAAATGTCAAAGTCTCTATGCTCTAATCCTCTAATAATGACATCATCATCTCCATCATTATCATCATCATCATCTAACTTTTCCTCTGATGAATGTTGTGCATCCTCATTGTCTCCAAATGTTATGTTATCAAGATCAAGAACATCTAGAGCATGATCTGTTGTTGCTCCATCTAAGTGAACATTTCCACCATCATTTTCACCTTCTACTTGATCAATCTCAACAACATCATCTGCCTCTTCAGTTATCCATTCATCATCTGATTCAATGTCATCAAATGGAAGAGCTACAGTTTTTTGAATTTGTCTGTTTTTCAACTTGGAGTTATACATCACATAAACTAAATCATTAATTTTTTTTGATGCAAACAATTCCTTCTCTTTGTATGAACCTAAAATGAAATATAATATTTTTAGTGAAGATATAAATATAATAAAGAAATTTATAAATTAAAAATTATTTAAATTACCATTTCAAATGAGCTCTAATTACGCTCACATCCAGAAGAACTACAAGTCAAGCTTAGAATTCGAATAGCAAATCTCTTCAACTCTGGAGTTCCATCACCAAACATGTCCCACCATTCCCCAGGATTTAACTCTTTCCTACACTCTTTTGCATCTTCCATTCCAAAAAGTCTTCTAGCATAATGAAATTCAACAATTTGTAAATGTATTTTTCTTCTTTCTGCCATATCTGGTATCAATCTTCTCATGCAAATATACAATCCTTCTTTCACCTCTCCACCATCATCACATCTAAAGTTAGGTTCATAGTGGAAATGAGGGTTCAAAAAATAGGTAGCTGCATGCAAAGACCTATGAAGTTGATTATCCCATCGAGCATTAATTATTCTCCAAACCTCTTCATAATTACATCAATTATGCTATATCAGAAATAATTTCACACATAAGTAATTAAACATTGAATGAGTAAAAATTTGAAAATTTACCTCTTTTTGATATTGTTAAAGTTAGATCTAATCTTCTCTTTTGCACAATCCATCTTTTCATAAATGAAACCCATTGCAGGTTTTACATCAAAGTCCACTAATCTTAAGACCACCATAAGAGGGGCAACAACTTTCAGGCATGTGGAGACATTCTTCCAAAATCGGCTATCTAATACCACATATTCTACTTTTCTGCCCTCTTGTGAAGTTCTTAACTTGCTTTTCTTCCACTCTTTAGAGCTAAACATGGTCAACAATGATGCCTTCAATTCATTAAGACAAGCAAGAGTTAAATAAGTTGTGGCAAATCTAGTCACACCCGGTCTTATCAAGTCTCTACCTCTAGTGAACTTTTTCAATAAGGAAATCAACATTGATCTTCCGTAAATGTAAATGGTAATCTTTCTTCCCTTCTTAATTGTCAATTCATGGACCTTTAAATTTTTTTCAAAATATTCAAATATCAAATCAATACAATGTGCTGCGCATGGAGTCCAATACAATCTTTCCCTCTTTTGCATCAACAACTCTCTAGCTACCTTGAAATTTGTAGCATTATCAGTGACAACTTGAAGAACATTTTTTCTCCAACAAACTCAACAATATCATCTAACATTTTGAAAACTTTATCAACTGTTTTTGATATGCCTGAAGTGCCAAGTGAATAAAGAAAAACCGTCCCTTTAGGACTATTCACCAAGAAGTTGGAAATAGAAAGTCTTTTCCTATATGTCCAACCATCATACATAATTGTACATCTAGTTCTCTTCCACTCCTCCTTATAATCCTCAAGGATTTCATCTGTTTTATTCACAGCTTGTTTCAACAACTTTTCTCTAATGTCATGATAAGATGGTGGTTTGTATCCAACTTCATACTTACCAATCATTTCACACATCTTTGCAAATGCTGAATTTCTAATTACATTAAAAGGAATGACACTGATGTAAAAGAATTCAACCACTTGAGCATCAATTTCTTCTTTGTATCCTTTTTTCATCATTTGATTTATAGTTGCTTGGACTCCCCCTTGCTAGTAATAGCAACATTTTGTTTTCCTTTAAAACCAAATACCTTGTGTCCTCCTTCAAGACTCTCACTTTCTTCCTCGTCTTCACTGTTATTTATCTTTCTTTTCTTTAATGATGCATTCTTGGCTTCAACAACTATTTTTATCATCAAATTTTTTATTTCATCTGAAACAGAAGCACAAGGTTCAGAATCCTCCCTTGTTCCAACAAGATGGTGTTTAAATCTAAATATACCTTCACTCACAATCTTTGAACAATAGTTACATTTAATTAAAGGTACTGTCTTTGGGTAGGCGCGGTAGGATGCTAACACCTTCCTTACGCGTAACCGATTCCCGAACCTAAAATCTAGTTTTTGTAGACCATGTCTTATTTTATGGTTTTTCCATAATAAATTATGGTGGCGACTCCCAAAATATTTTCCTAAACTCGTTTGTTTTCGGCTCGCCGTCCTGTCACGATCCCGATTGCGGCAGACACCATTAATATAATAAAATATTATAATAAAAGTACACAGTGACATGGTCATTTCACGTCTCATCTCTTAAATTAAGATGTCATTTATATAATAAGCAAGCAGACAATAGTCACATCACATCACGTTCTTTAATGTAGTAAACAAATTTTACCAGGTCATGACTTTTTTAATGATTACTAAAAACTTTCAAAAAAAGATATATATATATATATATATATATATATATATATATATATATATAATATGATAGAAGTTCTAGAAACCTAACATAATCACATCTAAAAACATAACTCTAGGACGCTTTTGAAAAGAAATTTTTTTTACTCACCACCACCACACAGTGACGCCACACAAGAACTACGACAACAAGCACGTCAACGATTACAACGACGATTAAGGCACGACCACGAGCAAGGCGAACGACGACCATGAAACGTGATGCTGACTGTGACGGTGAGTGCGAATCCGGCCACCAGAGCGCGACCACGAACGAGAACGCTGCAAACGACGACCACAAATGCAGACAGTGGTGGAGTGAAGCACAACGAAGAAGAGGAACCTAGTCGGGTCATTAAATACTAATCTCAATGAAATCACGATTTTATATGAGTTTACCGAGTTCGCTAACAAGTCCAACGAGTTTACTCATAAATCGAGTTTACTACCGAGTTAACTCGGCAACCATGAAAACGAACGCAAACTCGTCAGAGATAACGAGTTAACTCGAGAGTTTGATAACCATGCTCATAACCAACTTGTAAAATTAAATGACATAGTTTAAAGTAAGTTTTTCTCTCCCTGGTTATATTGTTTTAGAATCAGTGTAACTAATCCATTAGTCTTATTACTTCACAATTAAATACCTTGAGGTGTTTAGATAGAACTAGAGGAAAATTTGTGTACGTTTCTATTGTAATTTTTATGTACAAATTATATTTATAAACTAAGACTATATACCAACAAGTATGGTTGGAGCTATATGTAGTGCACACAACATTTCAATATGGTGGAACTGAAGGAATTTTCCTTTATCCACCAAAATACTATAATCCTCCAGGTAGTTGCTGTTTCTATCTCGATTTTGTGTGCAGATATTCACATAATAATATTTTTGGAAAACACTTGCATAAAATATACTTATTTCACTATTTTTCTTTACTTGTTACTTTAACTCTGTGTGGAGCAATTTCTATTTTATCTGCATTTAAGCTAGCAACATACTAAGATGCTGAATTTGAAAAGTTTTATGCTTTAGTATATGAAGGAATTGGTTACAATTTCCCGGTCTGATTTATTAGTCAACCCATTTTCATGAACTTACTACAACATAATATTTAGAAGAACTTTAGCATGTTGGATCACATTTTACTCTTGTCAATTACCAAGTATATGTATGTATCAACCGTAACCTTTTGTTTTCTACATTTTAAGCAAATTATTTGCATGTTTTTTAACATGTGTTGCACATATTTTTTTCATATTAAAAAGATTAGGACAATACTTGCAATTGTTTCCCTTTTGAACAATTGTGTCTAGGGTTACCCTATTTATCATGTCCTCTTGTATCAATTTAATTTTATAAATAGAAGATTATGAGAGGGATCAATGAAGCCCTCTAAAATTATTTTACAGTTTAATTCTCAAGTAACAGAACACTAGTAAGAACTATTTTTTTGGTTCCTACACACTTGTTTATGAATGTTATTAAGAGATAAACCACTACCATATAGATGAAAGATGAACTACACTTAATGTTTTTTAGCTAGTGCTTAATAAAAACATTTTACACTCTAATAGAATTTTGGTTATATATATTAGACTAAAGAACTAGCTTTTTACTTTAATATGTTGTGCTATGACTTTTTTATTTGTTTAATATAGATCAAAAGTGTGGCTTCATGATTTATGTAATTAACCTCACCTAGGACAATAATGATGGAAACCCTCTTCATGCAAATTGAAGAAGACTTCATAGAGATGATGTGGTGGATGCGAAAGCATGTAAAGATGAAGGAAATAAGGTTTGGAGAGTGGGTTAGATGTGTATCTTGAAGAAGGTTGAGCCAATCATAAAAAAAAAGTTACGAGAGTCGAGAAGAAAACTATCCTAGTGAATTTAGAAAGGAAGAGATGCAATAATGATATGATTTCTTTATATTATTTCTAAGTTGAATTTATAAAGCTTGGGTACTCCTATTTATAGAATGGAGGAGTTAACTCAAGTGATACAGTGAATCTAAAAGCTTTAAGAACCTTCTTCAAGAGTGAGGATGCATGCATCTTTCAAGGTGTCTTAGCCTCCAAGTAATGTTTTAGGGGTTACTTAAGACCCGATCAAGCCCAAAGAACCACTTAATTCGCATAGCCACTCAAGAATCAAGTTAAAAAGTCAAAACTACATTTTTTGTAGAAAGTTGTCTATTTGAATCGATTATGTAAATTCCATAATCGATTAAATCATAAAATTGCATTTTTTTCAGGGTGTTATCTAGTTTAATCGATTATAGGATTTGCATAATCAATTAAATCAAAGACTAATAAATTAAAATGGCTAAAGTACAAATCTAAATGAAATGTAAGCTTGACTTGCATACAAGGTATAAAGAAAAACTTATTTACATATTTACAAAAACTTAAAGAGAAATATAAATCAATAAACTATCCTCTACACGAGTAGAGTTCTTTCTAGTCCTTCTTCCTCTTCCATTCTTTTATCCATGACTCTAGTTAAAGGTCCAATGTGACTTCATTTAGGTGGTTCTCCATTAGACCCTCCCTCTTGAAAAGGATCTGTCATCAGATCCACTTCTTTTTCATAATCATCAACACTTGAAAAAAGGGATCAAATCACAAACGTTAAAACTAGGACTAGTTATGTGAAAACTAATTATGTGAAAAGAGTAAGTAAACACTCATTGATTCAAGAGTATGAGCTAATTCAAGAGTATTAGATAATTTAAGAAAACACCTATGACACAAGCTAATTCTATCCTACACAACTCTACATTGCCACATAATTCACGTAAGGAAAACAAACCCTTAATCAGCCAAAACGGTTTAGCATATTCACTAGTCCAGCACGTAAGGTAACCACTCAAGTATGGTAAACACATGAGCACGAGACTACATTAACAACTTGAAATAAACAATTGTAATGTATCTTTATTGATGTCCACTTGATATTGTTTAACTTCTTTGAAACCATGTATTCCCTTTGAGCTCATTAGGTTTGTATAACCCTAGTTAATACATAAGTTTAAAGATAGATTGATTTGTGTTATTCTTCTTTTTCCTTTTACAT